GAGTCTTGTTCGAATGGTATGAAGAATGAATAAGTTTTAAAGTCACGACACCGAATGATTAAAGGCCATAACTTAGGATCTGTAGTGGACGAACGACGCTCGACAGTATGGATAATTGGATATGGGATCTAAATTTCAATTATTTATATGTCAATTTCTTAACTACTTGAACAAATGCGTAGGATAATATTTATTCCGAAATGTATTATAGATATATACCCATATCTCGTCTTTTTGACACGGCTGTCTAAAAATCATTTGATGCGTCGTTAAATGGAGGGTACCAATTGTAGTAGCCTGACCTTTCTCAAGAGTAACATTTTCAACCTAATAAAAGACATGACTGTTTAAATTAATCAAACTCGTAATAAAAACGTTTTGATTGTTTTCTCAAAGCCGAACCTTTGTGATCTTTAAGAAATCCATGTTTCCATTATTAGAGTCAGCAGTTGTAGACAACGATGATTTGTGTCGGCCAATCGCCTTACGGACTAACTTCTTAAGCTTAAAGTGCTTCAACTTGACAGTATTTTTTGGGTTCAAACAAATATAAATGTATGATTTAAACAAGAAGGTGATGGTATCGATACAATATTTTAGACCAAACGCATGGGTGATTACTATCCAATTATCTGTTATATTGTGCATACATGAACATATCCTTGTACATATTTATATATATATATACATATATAGTAAAAAATTATTTTTTATAAATTGAAATATTTATTAACTATATATATAAAGTGCAATATATAAGACTTTGATCATACGTATAAATTGTACGTATAAATTGTACGTATGATCGAAATCTGGTTTTCTCCCATATATGTATTAATTAAATACGTACCATGGGGTTGCTACGTATCGCTATATTTCAAATGCTTGTTAAGTACAGAAATAATCTGTATTTGTTCTCTAAGTATACGTAGCGAGCGATGTCCATCATCAGTCTAATTACAAACATAGTGCAGATGATACGTATAGTAATGATCACTAATTAAGATTTTTTGTACGTACGTACGTACGTACGTAGTAAATTTTTTGGATCTGCACGCTATATTAAATAGGGTTATATGGTATATGGGATCTTTGCTATGAAAATGACCCTCCGAGGCTATGTTGATTTTGTGAATAAAAATTAAATTACCGACCATCTAGTTATCCATTTTTTTTTTATTTTGTGGAGCTAAATAAGTTCAAAAAAAAAAAAAAAAAAAAGATCATTAGATGGTTGGAAATTTTAATTTTTATTCACAAAATCAACATAGCCTCGGAGGGTCATTTTCTAGCAAAGATCCCATATAATTTAGCACATGTGCGTTGTAACTAGTGATGCAAACGGCACGGCTCGGCTCACGGCTTGCACTGATAAGCCTAAGTTATGGCCTTTAATCATTCGGTGTCGTGACTTTAAAACTTATTCATTCTTCATACCATTCGAACAAGACTC